TATATATATATATATTGTGTGTGTGTGTGTGTGTGTGTGACAGCATGTGATACGTTTCTTTCCATGCCTGGTTATTTCACTTAGCTGAATAGATGCTTTTCCATTCTACTTATGTGATAAATAACCCAATTTTCTTCTTTTTAAAGTCTGAATAGTAGCCTCTTATCTATCAGTGCATCACATTTTTTGTAATCCATGCATGTGCATCTGTTGATGGACATTCAGGCTGATTCTGTGTCTTGGCCATTGTGAGTGGTGCTGCAGTAAACATAGAAGTGCAGATGTCTCTTCTACATAATGTTTCCAGAAAATTTGGGCAAATACCCAGATGGATTACAGTTAATTTTTAGCAACTACACACTTTGAATTTGGGGGAATTAAAAAAAAGAAGAAAAACACAAAACAAAAAACCCTTAAACCTATAATTGTCTGAAAAGACAGTACTTTTTTGTATTCTAACTGTATCTCTAGGAAGCCAGGTAATCACGTAGCTCAACCTAAACAGGATGGTAGCAGATTGCATGTAGAAACAGGCGTGAGACTAGTGAGTGTGTCGTGCACACTGGTCTCATTAATTTTTTATCTTTTGCAACCTAAAGTTATTTTTCTAAAAATTATTTAGGTTAGTCTGTATTTTAAAATTCATTTGCAATGAAGAAACAAATAGCTTAAAAATCATAGTTAATTTTAAATATGGCAAATAGCAATAGATGTATCCCACATAAAACTCTACAAAGTTACTTAAGAGGATAAAAGTCCCAAGACCAAAAAGTTTGAAAACCCTCTGTGTAGGTGAACTTCTCTGTTTGAAGCAATTTTTTGTAGTTCAAGTCACTGATTCCTACTGCTACTCTTGACTTTGTATTGAATATAGGCCACGTTGAAAGATAATAATGGTTAATCAGCAGAATAATTCATCTTTGTCTTAGAGTCCTTTGTAGTTAAGTTTATACAGTTTGGTTGAGTTTTGACTTTTCCCAGATACACATATTTATCTGAATAAAATATAGCGTCTTGTGGGACCTATAGTAGCATCACACATATAAAATAGCTCACTTTAATTTTGATGAAAAGTAACGTTCTAGGAGTTGGATTCATCCTCAAGGGAAAAATAATAGTCCTGGGGCACTTTCCATCTCTTGCCCCCATCAAATTTAAGCTGATTACTAGAGATTAGGAAATAAAGTGGCTTCATAGCAGTCTTTGCAAATGACTTTTGAAACATATTAAGGGCAAACTGCTTTCCAGTTAATTTTGTTTTCGTTTGGTAAATGATAATGGGCCTATTAAATGATTTAGAGGTGGGAGGTGGAGTCTATTACCTGGCTTCCTGTATTTTCAAAGGCTGTTTTGTAGTCTATGAAATAGATTTGTGGGATTAGAAATCAGGGCTGATTGATTTTGAAGGACAGTCTTGATCCATGAATAATCTTTGGTACTTGGCCAGATGAAGAAGACGGCTATGTTCATTTCTTGACTGTTTAAATTAGGAGTCATCTGTAACAAGTATGAGATCTCACAAATGACAGAGAAAGGGGAAAAAGTGCATTTCTCTGTAATGGAGTCACTTTTGGTTTCTTTAGAGGTGGAGGAGTACTTTTCTAACAGAGAATTGATTTGTCTTCAATTTAAGAGAATTTAACAATAGTTGAGCTGTGTGTGTGTGTGTGTGTGTGTATGTCTTGCTTTTGCTATCGTAAATTACAAAATTGTGGGTGGGTTAAATGAAAACCTCTTTTAAACTTTTTACATATTCTGTATCTACAAGTAGATCACTTAAAGATCTTTTGATACTAGAATTTTAATGGATAACAAAAAGTGTAATTATGCTGTCCAACAGAGCAGTACAGATCTTTTTCTTGCAGTCTCTTAATTTACTGTCAAATTACTTGAAAAGTTTTAATTAGCTTAATTAAGTAAAGTGATAAGATATATTACTTTATGTATTTTATATGCATTCGCTCCTTGAGTCACAGCATTTAACAGGAGCATTTAAACTTAATTACTCCCTCTAAACCAGGCCCAGGTGTAAGGTACAAATCAGAACACTGGAGGTTAGTGTCATCAGGAACTAAAACTGCTTTAAAACTACCTGAATCCTTACGTGTATTTCTTCCACTTAAGAAAGTTTGTCTGTCAGATATTTTCACTGTCATGTACAGAAAGTACATTTTTTATATCATGATTCAGTATGCACATTTTTTTATCCTATTTTATTGCCTCATTGTATGTGGTGTACTTTGAGTTTAATTCCTGTAATTGGGAAACTCTTTCATTCACCACAGTGGTGAGATGGATATTCTCTTTCACTGAGCTTCATACCTGCTGGCTGGGCTCCCTTCGTAATGAGAGCCTGCTGTGTACTGGCTGCAAAATGCAGCTTCCTTGGTGGTGCGCATAGCCAGCTGCCTGAGTGGGTTCCCCCAAGAGACCTTGGAGACAGCTCTTTCTAATGGACATTCATAGTCCTAATCTCAGGCTGTTCCCAGTGTAGGCCCAAAATACCTGCATAACAAGGAATGTGTGATGAGGTCCCTTGCAGAGCCAAATTCAGAAGGTCTGCATCTCAAGGAAGTGGGGCTTTACCCCAGAAGAATCCAAGACATGTTGGTTCAGAAGCATTTTATCCTGAATGTCTGTAGGAACAAGTACATTCCCAATTAGCATCCCCATACAACTGGTAAGCCCAGTTCTGATGAGTGCTTCCATTCCTTTGTTTTTCTATTTCCTGTCTCAAATACACCAAAATGAAATCACCTCCAAAAATAACAACAGAAACTCCATACCTGATTAGTGTCATCAGATGCTCTGGCTTCCTGCTCTATGGAGAATGGAGAGAGCCAGTAAATTGCTGCTGGCACCATTCATGCATCTGTCCCCACCACCCCCTAACTGAAGTTGCCTGTCTTCAAATGTGTGCTAGGGAGGGTGCTTTCTACTCTCCCTCTAGGCCTGTATCTTATTAATGATCACTCTCTCTCATTATCTCCAGGCCTTCCCTTTTTGGGTACTGCTTCACAACACCCTTTAAATATATTTAAACTCACACATGTGGACTGTAACTACTTTTTGTATTTTCCCCATAGCTGCTTTATCGCTAGACTTTTTGAAGGGTTGTCTGTGCCTTCTGTTTTCTTTTATTTCAGCTCATTTCTGTCTCCTAACACAAAGACCTTGCCTTATTAAATCTGCTTCTTACTTCCTTTGTCATGTGCAATATCTGCTTTAGGTCAGATTCCTTTGAATGACTGTTCCTTTCTCTTGACCTTTCATTACCTAAGGTCCTTTGTCTTTGTAATCTCCTTTTCTTCTGTCTGCTCTTTCTCTATCTGGCTCTTTGTTGGTGAAGTGCATGAGGTTCTACTTTGAATTTGTTTTCCCATCTCTGTATACTCTGGAGATGTGCCCAGACTTGGTCAAAGCTTCTATGCTGATGCCCAAATCTGTTAGCAGCCTAAGCTCTGGTTCCATACATCTTACTTAGGATGACTGGAGGTGACACCTGTAAGCCTGTGATCTTAACTTTTTATTTTTTTAGCCCATAAATCTGTAGCTGATATATATATATATATATATATATATATATTTGTTGTTGCTGTATATTTCCATACCACTGATTTCCACAAATGTCCACTGACAAGTTAGAAAGGGAAAGGCAAAATGAGGTAAGTTTGTGACAGCTACTTGGTGTAGGAAGAGGGTTAATGGAGCATGATAAACAATTGACTTAGTCACTTTGACCTTCTGCTAGGTTGCTTACTCTTACAAAGATCGGAACTGAAGTTAGTTGACTACCTTAGAGAACTTGAGGGAGTGTAATCTGGTATGGGTTAATGCCTTTCACATATGAAACCTTGGCTTTCATGTATGAATCCCTGGTCTCAGAAGGCATAGCCATTTATTTTATTTATTTATTTATTTATTTATTGTGATATCAGGGATTGAGCTTGGGACCTTGCCTTTACCAGGCAGGTGCTTATGTCACTGAGCTACATCTCTGGTCAAAAGGCATACATAGCCTTTGATGCCAGGTATTTTTCATTCTTGTGTGTTCACAACATTTTTGCAACATCTGACATGATGATAGGTACTCATATAATGCTGTTAAATGAATGAACTATGTGTGGTGTTGTGAGGATAGGATTAAAATTAGTAAGGGTGATGGTATTGTCTGCCTATCATCTTCCATAGACCCTTGGAGGGAAGCAGGAATCCTTTAATGAGGAAATATTGTTGGTGTAGCTAAATAACATTCTTTTGAGTTAGAGCCTTCCACTTGGATTCTGTTTTTTCCGGGTGTGGTGAATTCCCAGAACAACAGCCACACCCAACCTAAAATGTAAATTGATTTAAGGCAAATATTGTTTTGGCTCATCTGTGCCATTGTTCAGTGAATAATTCACAGTTTAGTGGTGGGTACAATGTTAGTATGGCTGAATCAGGCCAAAACTGTGGTTTTGAATTTTAAAGATTTGCTAGGTTTTAAAATTTTATTAGATTGACCTAAAGTATTCCCTTTGCTAAGCTTGCATAGCATAGCCCCACACCCTGACAGCATGTTATGTTGTAAACTCTACCGCTACTTTAATGGGATCCAGGAGGGCAGATGTTGTGTCTTGTCAGTTCTGTATTCACCATAAGGGTTAGACCTGGATTGGGGCATTGCAAGTGTCTAAATGAAAAAACTATGTGGGACCCTACACAACATCACAGTCCTTTTGAGACTTAAGTGAAGATCCTTAGTGGCTTATTGTCCTGTGCAGCAGGAATCAGACTCAAACGGGGCTTCAGTGAAAATGAGAACTAATCTTTCAGTTAGCTATGCTTCCTGCCAACAACAGCAACACATAGCCAGCTGAACTCTTATACAGAGGCTTAATTTGTGACCTCAAAGAAAATCCACCCAGGGCATCTAGAGGCACTCATGGAAATCATTTTGGGATGTCTATACTCTAGTCCCATCTTTTTAAATATGTGACTTTTGTTGTTGATCATGAAATGAAAAAACAAAACAAAAAACCCAACCAAACAAACCAAAACAACAGGGAAGAGAAATGGGTAAAGCTTTTTTCTTCACAAGACCTGACCTATTTATTCATAAAGGAAGTCTCCCCAAAGGACCTTAGGTTATATCTTCTTAGTTCTGTGACCAAGATGCAAAGGAGTCTGGAAAAACCAAGTTAGCTCTGTTTTGTGTTAAGGTGTATAGTTGGGGCAGGTAAGGGAAAAGATTGTCATACTCAGTCATATGACATTGTAAACTCCTTGGTTGAATTTGCAGCCTTTTTCAAAGTGATACCAGAACATGAATAGACAGAAAGATGGAATTCTGGGTTACTGAAAGTGAGCCACTTGAAGGAAGCTATTCTAGGCACCTATGTCAAATACTCTCTGTGTTGGTCAGTTGCTTTGGATCATTTGCTTCATGTATGGATATTCTTACTCAGGCTTGTAATTCCTGAACTTTTTGGTGGCCAGTTTTTTTATGATGAAAGAAATACATGTCTTTCCATCAGCCCTACAAATTATTTTATCAATTATACAACTTTTTTGAATATTATGAACTGCTTTAGGACCTGCTGTACAGCTGTCACCCTAAAATTTTTTTTCTCTGTTATTCTTGGTATAATTCTGCTTTTTCTTGGATTTTACATTTTCCTTTTTCTTAGACTTATTTCTGATTTTGTTGGAATATTATTTTGAAGTAAGTTCAGAAAGAGGGCAAGTGCAATTTGAGCTTGTGCTTATTTGCCCTCATACTTATCTGCTAATTTGACTGGCTGTTAGCAGTGAAATTTTGAGTTCACTGTCACTTGAGTACACATTTCTCCTGAATTTTGTGCACTTTCGTGAGAATCACCACCATCCTCATTTATTTGGGTCAGTACCTGTGGGTTCTTCCAGTATAAAGACATGTTCTTCAGCTCTTGGAAATTCTTTCTTTCATTACTTTTCACCACCTTCTTGGCCCTTTTCTTTCTTTTCCTTTTTTTCTTTCCTTCTTTTTTTTAAATACATTCAAGTAGTTCATGTTAGGCCCTCGTACTAAAACTGTCTTATGAAACATTTTCCTTTTTTTCTCTTTTTGTACGTGGTTTTCTGGGAATTTTATGATCCTTTTTCTCCTGTCCATTTTACTTTTAGAGTCCAAAGCCCCCAAATTTTAATTGTAATATCATCTTTTCCTTTTCATGATGTCATTATTTCATATATGTATCATGGATTTTTCTAATGTCTTTGAATACATATTTTTGTCCCCACTGAAATTCCCTTTGACTTTATCAGTGTCCTTTCTTTGTTTATCCTGTATCCTTGCTTGTCCTTCCCAGGAAGTATTTTCAAGTGTTGAAATTAAATGTGTAATACATAAAAAACAGGTTTCTTTCTGTCCATATGAAGGAAGCAGAACATGTTGAGGCTCCCCCCCACCCCCACCCCCAGACACGAGAATTCCCCACCGAGGATGCCAGACCACTTGGCAGGTGGTGGATGTCTGCTGCTGCCCTTATAAACTGAGGAAGGAGCATTGGGCTGCACCCCACTCTGAAGACATGTTGCGCAGCCTCCTTCATTTCTAAATTTCTTACCTTAGATCCTGCCAACTTGCAACTTGGTATTTGTCTTCTCCATGTGTACCCGGCTCTCTGTGGTTTTTCATGCTCTCAGCTCACTTATTAAAGTCTTTAGTAGTTGTAGTGAGTTGGGAAAAGGAAAGGCCTAGAAGCCCAGGGGTATTGCATTTAGTAAAAAGTAAGTTTGAGAAAGTTAAAAATGGCTTAAAATATCCAGAAGGCACAGAAGGAAATGCAGAAGAAACTAAGCCTTGCTTGTACCCAGTCTCCATGTCTTCCAGTTTGCCTCCCAGAGGCAGCCACTATTAGCAGTTCACTGCTTACTTCCAAGAGTTTATGCTATGCATATTTAAGGAAAAAGTCACTTTGGCAGTTTGTATAGTATGGACTAGGGTTGCAGTAAATTAGGGACAACTGGAGCCTGGGTTGCCATGCCTGTACTGGTACAGGCAATAGGTAGGATCTGTACCAAGCTTACACAATGGGAGTGAGCATTTAGAAAGCTTGCTGGAGATCATTTCAGGAAGAAGCAGGATATAGCCATTGGTGAGGTGCTGGTGGGATGTTACAGCAAGAGCGTTGTGGTAAGAGAGTAGGCTTCTCTGCTGACTTTTTTAGTGGACAGCATGGAATCTCTCTAGCCTTAACCTGCTAACATTGCATGGACTCTGAATGCTTTGATTGTTCCTATGTGGATGAAGCATTAATGATTTGCCATTTTATGTTCCCCTTTTGCTCATCCTCTCAGGCCACCAGAGGTTTTTGACCCTGACAATCTAAAGCAGTTCTTATAGTAGTACTGACTATGCATTATTTCTACTCTTGTAGAGGAAAAGTGCAACACTGCAAACTCAGCAATTGCAGCATGCTGAT